TATGTTTTTATTATTTTTTTACATATGTAAATATTAAAATTTTAAATAATCATGCATGTAAACCTTTCCTTTCCCTTGTGGTTCGTTTTATTGATCTGAAAGTGAATTGGTCCATCCTCCAGAAGTTTGATACATATTCAATAGTATTTTATACTAATTTTTGTTTGAGTGGTCATATTTAATCTTTAATCCCTCTGAAGTTTATCTTCATGTCAGGTATTAAGTGCAAGTCTATGATAATGCCCCTTCAGCTGCTTAACTCGTTTTCTAAACTCCTTTTTTTTTTTAAATTTTGCTTTAGGTGAAACTTTACAGCTCAAGTTAACTTCTCATTCAAAAATTTTTACACATATTGTCTTGTGACATTAGTTGCTCTTGACTACTTCTTCTCCCACATAAACTTTAGAATAATACTGTCAGAGTAAAAAGAACTCCAATGAAATACCGACTGGAAAAAATAATTTAATTTGGAAGTAAAAATTAAACACAATCTTCCTTTTTCAGGAACATAAGACATTCGCTTCACAGTTTTTTTAAGTATTTCACAAAATTTGTAATTTTATTTATATTTGGATCATCCATTCTTAAGATAACTATCACTAAATACTTTTAATTATTCTAATGGAAGCGTTTATATACTTTTGGTTAGTTCTCATGTCCTTTTGGTGATATCCAAAGCTCTTAGATGTTTCAATTAACATATTCCTATCCCTTTATAGTTGTTCTGTAGGCTCTTTCTGGCAGTTTAATCCTCAGGAATACACATGCAGTGCAGGAATGTCTCCACTCCATTATACTAGATGTAACAGCCTAGGGATATAGAAATACAGAAAAGGATGCTTACACATGAATTCTCCATAATAGTAATTAACTGACTAGTTAAATCAGTAGAACTCAAAATTATATGATTCTGAATTCACAACTGAAATCATCATTAATACAAAGAACCACATGTCCTGAGGGATATAACATACTATGATATTCTAACACAGAAATCACAGGTTTTCAGGAGCCAAAGATTGCACGTGAAATAGACACATTCTACCCAAAAACAGAGGACTGAATAAATCACTAAATTGATGTATTATTAACCTTTAATTTTCTGGACCAATAAAAAAGAGCATTAGCAGAGCTAATAGAAAACCATGAATCTATAGAAATAGAAAATATAGAATCTATATTTCTATACTCCTAGGCTGTTATAAAGGAGCCCTGGTGGCACAATGGTTAAGCACTTGGCTGCTAACTGAAAGGCTGGCAGTTCAAATCCACCCAGTGGCTCTGAAGGAGAAAGACCTGGCGATCCGTAAAGATTACAGCCAAGAATACTCAATGGGGAAATTCTACTCTATCCCATGGGGTCATTATGAGTCAGAATCCACTGGAGGGCACCCAACGACAACAATAATAAGCGGCTGTTATAATATAATGAAACTGAGACATTCCTGCATTGTATGCACATTCCCAGCGATTAAACTGCCAGAAAGAGCCTACAGAACAACTATAAAAGGATAGGAACAAGTTAATTAAAACCATATAAGAGCTTTTGATATCACAAGAGGGGCATGAAAACTAGCCAAGAGTACAAAAATATCTCCATTAGGGAAAAAAAAAGTGGTTAAAAGTATTTAGTGATAATTCACCCATATGGATCAAGGAAGGAATCAGTAGAAAATAGACCGTCTTCTAGACAGTAGAAAATAGATTATGATGTGTATAATCCACAAAGCACAAAATCAAAAGTTATCATAAACTTAAAAACTGGGAGTAGCTTTTAGTCATTTCTGGATTATCATTAACTAATTTCAATAAGCACTCAACAGAGAAGGGATCCCAAAGTCTAGTGGTTAAAGTGGGTTTTTTTTTTGTTTTGTTTTTTACTTTGGAAACCACTAAAAGCAGATAAATAAGATTATTGATAATTAACATTTATTGTGTGATCATGTACTATGTGCTAGGTGCTGTGCTAAGCATTTTATAAACATAGCATTTAAGACACATGTACATACATACACACAAAACCATGAGACACCAAAAAAGCCGAACACGTTGCCGTCAAGTCGACTCCGACTCATAATGACCTACTGGACAGAGTAGAACTACCCCAGAAGTCTTCCAAGGAGTGGCTGGTGGATTCGAACTGCCAATCTTTTGGTTAGCAACTGAACCCTTAACCACTGGCACCACCAGGGCTTCTAAAACCATGAGAGATGAGTATTATTAGTAACTTGACTTATGTGGTACAAATGACCCCCAGTCTAACTTCAAAATTCATCTTTTAACTAACACACTATATTACCTCAAATTCCTTCCTTCATTCAGTCAATCAAGAAATATTGGTTAAGCACCTACTGCGGACATGATGTCTGACCTCACAGAGCTTACAGTCTTATTATGGATACATTCAAGTAAAGGAACAATTACAATCAATATGATGGATGTTAAAATACAGGTTGTATAGGATGCCAATACCTAATTCAGACTGGAGAGGTCAGAAAAATACTTTCTAGAGGTCTAAGTAGAGGATGAGGAAGGAGAAAAGGGTGTTCCAAGCAGAGGAACAGGCACAAAGACCTAGAAGACAGAATATGGTTATGTCTGATGCTTAGGAGAGGAATGTGGATCAAAGACACACCTTTGGGAATCTTGATTTTGTAAGTACTCTTATTTTTGCCAGCCTTTCAGTTAGCAGCCAAGTGCTTAACCATTGTGCCACCAGGACTCCTTTATAACAGCCTAAGAGTACAGAAATATAGATTCTAATTTAATTTTTTAAGCAATCTTGCAATAACACCTTACATAAGTAATCACACATTTCTGTCACCTGCTCATTGGTAGTAACACAAATGTCCACCTAGTTAGTTGCAGAGTAATGAGGGGAACAGAAATCACCATAAATTACTTGAATAATTAGATTTAGCTCACATGAAATTTAGAGAGCACTACTAGGAAGCAGAATCACAAAGCTTTAATCATTCGACCGTAAAAAAGGAAGCAGAGAGTCCATATAGACAGGTTTCTATTTTCTCATTAACCGCTGAGGATATTAAAGGAATCTTGCTTTATCCATGCTACAAGTTGTCAGAAAATATTAGCAGCATATTGTACCAACAGTTGAGGTTTATTTCTCCAGGTGAAGGATGATAGTTGGTGATGGCAAAAGCAAAAAGCAGGGTTTAAAACAGGCTTTTGCAACTCCCCAACAAGCTGACAGTTCTTCCTTTGAGTCACTTTACCATTTTGTACCTTTATTTCAGGGCTTATCATGATCTACCTTATATTATAGTTTAATATTCGCTCATCTTCTTCTGGAGCCCTGGTGGCGCAGTGGTTAAGAGTTCAGCTGCTAACAAAAGTTCGGCAGTTCAACTCTACCAGCCGTTCCTTGGAAACCCTATGGGGCAGTTCTGCTCTGTCCTATAGGGTCGCTATGAGTTGGAATTGACTCAATGGCAATGGGTTCATCATCTTCTTTTCTACAGTGTAAATAATTAGAGTCAGGGAATTTGTTTTTCATCTTGGTAGCCTCCACAGTATCTAGTACTGTGATTGAACAGAGTAAATCATAAATATATCTGTCCAACTGAACTGAAACCATAACAGATAATGGTACCTGGTGAAGGATAATTGTACCATACTATTTAGCTCTTTGCAAACTGCCAAGGAAAGGAAAGGAAATCACTAGTGATATTTTCTACTTAAAATTTTGAACTATCATATTAACCTATAATCAGATGCAGACCTCATAAAACTTAAGAATTAAAACGTTATTTAAAAATAGATTATTATATTTTTCAGTGGGTGGAAAATAATGAGATGGCAAGCTCATACAACAAACCATACCGATTCAAATATTTGGTATATACACAAAAATCTTCAGATTATTATTTATCTGGTCCTTAAGCTTGTTGTTTTCCATTAGACTTGAAGTTGTCAATTCTGGTTGTTCATCAGAATTACAGACAGAGCTCTTAAACAGATTCCTTACTCCCAGAGATCCTGATTTAATTGGTCTAGTGGAGGATGTGTTGATTTTTAAGCTCTCCAAGTTACTCTCTGGTGCATCCAGGGTTGAAAACCACTATTATAAACCAAGTCACATTTAAAATGCACATAACCTTGCAATCACATACATGGAGTTTGCTAACATTTAAGAATCTTGATCCTTCACAACACACAGCCTTGTGGTAATAATTTTTTTTTTTAATTAAGCCATTGTTTCATGAATTTGACTTTAGAAAATTTGCTGCTAATTAAAAAAAAAAAAGTGTTCACTGACAAGGTAATCCAAAAATCCTCCCGTGGGTTGTTCAAAAGTAGATTGGACAAAATTTCATAGGAAAAAAAAAAGAGACACAAACAGTGAAATACAGAGGTAAAGCTGGCACTTCTCAAACTCTGTGTATTAACTTGCTCACTTGATTGTAACTGTGATGGTTAAAATTGTGTGTTAACTTGGCTGGGTCATGATTTTCAGTGTTTATACGTGATCACTCCCATGCTGGAATCTGCTTGAGTAGCCAATCAGTTGTAACGGAGTTTCCTTGGGGGGTGTGGCCTGCATCTGAATATAAGCAGATGTTTTGGCTTTTTGCTCATTCTGGATCCTGTGGCTGCCTCCTGTTTGTCTGACCTCCAGTTCTTGGGACTTGAGCTATCAGCTTATCTTCCGATCATGGGATTCGTCGATCTTCACAGCCTGTGAGCGAAAACCCTGCACTCTGATCTGCCAATCTTGGGTTCACCAGCCCCTGTGGCTACGTGAATCAGCAGAAGCCTTGCGGTGTTGCCTGCCAGTCTTGGGCTTTGTCGATCTTCACAGCCTGTGAGTGGGAGTCCTGCTCTCTGACCTGCTGATCTTGGGTTTGCCAGCCCCTGCAGCTACGTGAATTGAGAGAAGCCTCTATCCTGATCCACGGACTTGGAACGTTCCAGCGTCTACAATCGCGTTAGCCATTTCCTTGATATAAATCTGTCTATATACATATTTATATGCTTTACTGGTTTTGCTTCTCCAGAGAACTCAGCCTAAGACTAACCAACTTACCATCTTATCAGAAACTGCTGAAACATGGGAAAATTTGACAAGGAACTTGGTGCACACTCCTTCACCACCAATTACTGTTAATTCTGACTCGTGGCAACCCTGTGTGTGTCAGGGACGTAGTAAGGGTAACGAGTGCCCTGGGATAATCTCTAAACTGCAACCCCCCCCAATTTGAGTGCCCAGGGGCAATCTCTAAGTTGTCCCAATTTCAAGATAAATAGATGTTGACAGTGGCAACTTGTCAGCAGAAACGCCTCTGGACTTGTCTGGCTGCTTCAGTCAAGTGCCTTTCATATGTGTGGTGCCTTGGAATGTTATTCTGTGCCTTGTATGGTGCCCCTTTGGATTTACACCCAGGGGGAAGTTCCCCCTTCTGCCACCACCCCCCCCACCCGCCAGGCCTCTGGTGTCTGTCAGAGTAGAACTGTGCTCCATACAGTTTTTAATGGCTGATTTATCAGAAGTAGACTGCCAGGCTTTTCTTCCTCAGTGTCTCTGGGTAGGCTCAAACCTCCAACGTTTTGGTTAGCAGCCAAGTGCGTTAGCCATTTGCACCACCTAGGGATTCCTTACACTTCTTCAACCTGCCACCAATAATAGATTGGGATTGAAAACAGTTTAAAAATAACTCATTAGCTCAAATGTGGTCATAGCACAAATCAGAAGCAATTCAAATGCAGCTTTCCTACTGCATTACGTATTTCCGTCTAGTATTGAAATATCTGTTCAAGGGAAAATCTGGATTAAATATAAAAAAGATGAGGAAGGAAGCAAATGAGATATTTAGGAGAATTTTGCAAGGGTGACAAAAACAAAAGACAGGAAAAAGACCAAAAGAAGCTTTAATGAATACACAGAAAAAAAGAAAAGGAAATATAAAATGAATAAAGAGAACATTACAAACAGAAAACAAAACAAAACAAATAACAAGTCAATACAAAAAAATGGAAAAGTAAAAATAAAATACTTTAGAAAGAAATTAAAGAAGATCTAAATAAATGAAAAGACATTTTGCATTCAGGGATCAGAAGACTTAATATTGTTAAGATGGCAGTACTCCTCAAACTGATCTACAGATTCAGTCAATCCCATTAAAATCTCAGCAGGTTTTTGAAGAAACTGACAAGCTGATCCTAAAATTCATATGCAAATGCAAGGGACTCAGAATGGCCAAAACAATCTCGATAAAGAAAAACAAAGTTGGAGAACTCACACTTCTAGATTTCAAAACTTACTATAAAGTTACAATAATCAAGACAGTGTAGTATTAGCATAAGGATAGATATATAGATCAATGGAATAAAATCGAGAGTCCAGAAATAAACCCTCACATCTACAGTCAAATGATTTTCAACAAAGGTACCAAGACAATTGAAGGAAAAGGAATAGTCTTTTCAACAAATGGTTTTGGGACAACTGGATACATATGCAAAAGGAAGAATTTGGACCTGTACCTCACACATACACAAACTACATCACAGATCTAAATGTGAGAACAAAACTATAAAACTCTTATTAGAAAGCATAGGAGTAACTTTATGACCTTGGCTTAGGCAATGATTTCCTAGCTACAACACCAAAAGAACAAACAATAAAAGGATAAATTAGATTTTGTGAAACTTAATAACTTTTGTGCTTCAAAAGGCACCATCAAGAAAGTGAAAAGACAACACACAGACTGGGAGAAAATATTTATATATTAAATATCTCAAAACAGACTTGTATCCAGGATATGCCGCAGTGTTTAAGAGCTCAGCTGCTAACCAAAAGGTCAGCAGTTCAACTCTGCCAGCTGCTCCTTGGAAATCCTATAGGGCAGTTCTACTTTGTCCTATAAGGTCGCTATGAGTCGGAATCGACTGAACAGCAACGACTTTATCCAGAATATAAAAGGAATGCTTACAAATCGACAACAACAATAATAATTTTACCAATTATAAGAAAGGTTAAAGGATCTGAATAGACATGTGTCCAAAGAAGACATAAGAATGGCCAATAAGCACAAGAAAAGAAGTTCAACACCATTGGTCATCAGGCAAATGTAAATCAAAACCACCATGAAATACCATTTCATACCCACTAGGATGGCTGTAATTAAAAAGATGCACAATAAGAAGTGTTGGCAAGGATATAAAGAAATTAGGACTCTTACATATTGCTGGTGGGAATGAAAAATGGTACAGCCAATTTGGAAAACAGTTCAGCAGCTTCTCAAAGTTAAAACATAAAAGATAGCATAAAAACCCAAACCAAACCCATTGTTGTTGAGTTGATTCTGGCTCACAGCGATGTTATTGTACAGAGTAGAACTGACCTATAGAGTTTCCAAGGAGCAGCTGGTCGATATGAACTGTCGACCTTTTGGTTAGCAGCCAAACACTTAACCACTGCACCACTAGGGCACCAGAGTTACCAATTCCACTCCGAGGTATATACCCAGAAGAAATGAAAACGTATGTCCATATAAAGACCTGTATGCCAATGTTCACAGCTGCATTACTCATAACAGCCAAAAAGGGGAAACAATCATATGTATACCAACTGGTAGCTGGATAAACATAATGTTCTATATCCATGCAGTGGAATACATTTGGCAATAAACAGGCAATGTTGTAGCATCTATCAGAACTTCATTCTGGATAAAGTAGGACATTATCTAATGATAAAGAAGTCAATTCTCCAAAGAGAAGTAACAGTTCTGAATATATATGTGCCTAACAATAGAGAGTCAAAATACATGATACTGACAGAAGCGCAAGAAAAAATCGACAAATTCACTATTATAGCTGGAGACTTCAACACCTCTCTATCAGCAACTGGCAGGTCCAACAGGGAGAAATCAGTAAGGAACAGCACCCTGAATCAACTGGATCTGACTGACATTTACAGAATACTTCATCCAAAGCAGCACATTCTTTCTCAAATTTATATGGAACATTCACCGAGATAGGCCACATCCTGGGCAATAAAACAAACCTTTACAAATTTAATAGAATAGAAACTATTCAAAGTATCCTTTAAGACAACAAATGAACCAAAGTAGAAATCAATAACATAAATTGCTAGAGGAAGGAGCCAACATGGCACCATGCCGTCCCTCCACAGCAAAGACCCAAAAACTAAGTAAAACAGAAAGAAACATCAATCCTGGAACCCTAAGCATTAAAATGAAGAGATAAAGAACTCAGCCAAGCACCGACTGGAATAAGAAACTGACAGAGAACAGAGAACGAGGAGATACCACTGGAGGTCCCCTGTCAGCTAACACAGCATGGATTCACCATCTTGGACTCCTGTCAGAGATTGGGAGATAGGGAATATGGGAAACCAGCTTGAAGGAGCTCCCAGCAGGAGACAGAACACCTGGTAACCAGCGATATACACTTTCCCACCTCCTATCCTTCTCCCCCCTGCTCGGCCGCTGCTGCTTCCTAGCTGGCTGCAGTTGGTCAGCTGGCCGAGAGGTGCAGGCTCCATGATGTTACTTGGATTTGCCCTGCCACATCAAAAAGTGGAGGACAAGGAGTACAGAAAGCAGCTTCACGGAGCTCCCAGGAGAAGACAGAGCACCCAGTAACCAGTGATATATACTTTCCCACCCTCCACCGTTCTTCCCCCCTGCTCGGCCTCCGCCGCTTCCCACTGGGAAGCACCGGCTTGCCAGGAGGCACCGGCTTCGGCGTTGTGTCGCTTAGATTCGCCCCACCCACACAGGCTGGCTCTCTCAGTGCCATTTCTTTGTTGCTGGTGTTGCTTTTCTCCACTTCCTCTGGTTTCTTCCCTGCCTCTCACCTCCCCCCTCCTCCTGTTTCTCGAACACCTGGCTCCATGTGACATCTCTGTTTCTTCTTGAAAGGTTGTGAAGTGCTGCTTAGCTGGGGAACTGCTTCCCTTGGTCCATGCCACCACGCTTGTGGGATCCCCAGGGCCTTTTTTGTTTGTTTTGTTCTGTTATTTTGTTTTCTTTTTCTTTTCCTGGCTTGGGAGCCACTTCCCTGGTCTGCATAGCTGCACCAATGGGATCCCTGGGAGGCATTTTTTTTCTTTTTTCCTTTTTGTTTTTGTTTATTTCTCAGTTTCTCATCTCTCTTTACTTAACTTCTTTTCCTACCTCCTGAAAACCTGGCTCTGTGTGACATATCTGCACCTTCTAGCCAGGCTGTACTGTGCAGCCAGGGAACCATTTCCCTGGTCTATGCACCCACACCAGTGGGATCCATAGCTTTTCTTTTTTCTAAATTTTTATTTTACTGTCTTTTTCTTTTTGTTTTATTCCATTTCTTGTTTTCACATCTCTCCACTCCAACGGCAGGCTCCTTTAGCACTCTCTTTTTTTGTTTGTTTGTTTGTTATTTGACTCCTGTTTCTCTCTCCTCTCTATCTTCTTTCCTATATTCACCTTAGCTCCACACATCACAACCTACCCTCTCCTTCCTG